CCCTTGCCTGGCTGCTGCCTGTAAGCTTCCTGCTCCGTTTTCCCCCCCCCCCGGCAGCCACACGGGGGTGGGAGCAACAGTGGCAGACGGTAGCCTTTGCTTATCAGCCCTCTGTCCTTCCCTGAGGCTCCTTGCCTGTTGCTCTGAGCAGTTGCTAGGAGGAAGTGTGGCCGGATGTGAGCCTGGCTGTCCAGGCTGGAAGTGGTGCTCTCAGCCAGGTGTGGCCAACCAAATGCCAATAACTTCCTTGCTTTAAGTGCTGCTGAGTCACAGGCCTGGTGGGGATGTAACAGTGGCATTCATGTCCCCTCCCAGGTACACCCTGCTGTGTGGGAACCCTCCCTTCGAGACCTCTGACCTCAAGGAGACCTACAGGTGCATCAAGCAGGTGGAATACACCCTCCCTGCCTTCCTCTCCCTGCCCGCAAAGCATCTCATCGCTGGCATCCTCAGACGCAACCCCCAGGACCGCCTCACCCTTGAGGAGATTTTGGACCATGAGTTCTTCAAGGTGAGTGTGTGGGGATCTGGGTCAAGGTTCCTTTCTCCACGTGGGATGAGGCAGATGAGGCTTTTTGGGCTGTGCAGGGTGCTGTCCTTGGAGCCCAAGTCTCAGTCCTTCAAAGGATGCAGCCGCTGTCCTGCTCAAATGCCAGCCAGGGGAACTGAGGGATTTGATGTGTTCCTGCTGCCTTGTTGCTATAGCAGGGGGTTGTTTCCTGTACTGATGCCAGTCATGCTTCCAAGGCTTGACGGAAACACAAGCTGGCTGTCAGGAGGGATGTGAATGACTGCGGTCAGCCGAGGGCAGCTGCTCTGCCTGGAGCATGTGGCCTATGGAAACCAAACCTTTTCCTTGACCTCTCTGCAGGGCTACACGCCTGAGAAGCTCCCTCCCAGCAGCTGTGTGATGGCTCCAGAGCTGAGTCCCCCAAACCCTGCAAAGACTCTGTTTGCTAAAGTCACAAAGACACTCTTCGGAAAGAAGAAACCCAAGGGTGAGTTCATGCAGTTGCCAAGGAGGCTCTGGGTGACCCTTCTTCCCAGGGAGAAGTGTGTCCTGTCTCCTGCAGAGATCTGATGGGTCTCTGTGGACCCCCTGCCTGGGGACAGCACAAGCTGGGCTTGTCCAGCCCTTCTTGTGCTGGTGGCCCGGCATGGGTGTGTGCCTGGAGAGCGGATGCTGCATGGCAACCCAGGGGCAGTTCCTCCTGAAAGCCCTCTGTAGCATGAGAACTGGGAAGTGAAAGTGGGAGGCAACTGTTTGAAACCATCCTTGCCACCGTGGGCATGGGATCAGATAAGGGAGAGCTGAACTACTGGGAGGGGTGTCCCGGATGTCCCCATCCCCTATGCTCAGCAGTGTGCTCATCACTTGCTCTTCTCTTAGCCAAGAAGGGCTCTTTGGAGGACAAGGATGACATCTCCAAGCTGGTCACTGGGCTGATGAAGACCTCGATCTGTCGGCAAATGAGCTATAAAACTGTGGAAGGGAATGAGGTGAGAACATCTCCGAGGCCACGCGTGCCCCTCTTTTGGGGAGCAGGCAGGACAGTGGTAAAGCCAGGTCTCTCTGCAGGCCACTCCTGTATCCTGCCGCAGTGCCAGCTCCAGCCCCGTGGAGACAGTGGTGGAGGAGACATCTCACAAGTCTGCGTCCCCCTCCATCCGGGGAACGATGGCCAGCAGCTGTGAGGGTGAGCAACACCTGCCCCGGCCACCCCAGCCTGCCCTGGGTTTCCTGTCCTGCCTGGCTGATAGCGGGGCCGGCTGACTCAGCCTGTCATCTTCTCCCTGCAGCCTTTGAAGACTGCATCACTGCCTCTGCCATCATTGAGTCAGCCGTCCGGCTCCTGCGGACCTGCCTCTCCTCCATGCCCCCAGGTAAACTGGTTGGACTGCTCTGGGATGGCATAGGGTACTGTGCATCCTTTTCCCCCTGGGATGAAGGCATGGCTGCTATTTGGGGTACAAATAACACCTTAAATGGTGCCAAAGCCTGCTGCAAGGGTCTGCTCCCCTCTGGGGGAGGTGAAGGGGGGAGGGACTGGTTGCCTGCTCTGCTCACCTCCTCCTCTCCTCTCCACCAGCGGAGAAAAACCCGGCTTCCCTGGCCCGCCACGAGCACTTTGTCTGGGTGAGCAAGTGGGTGGATTATTCCAACAAGTATGGCTTTGGCTACCAGCTCTCCAACCGCAGCATCGGGGTCCTCTTCAACAACGGGACGCACATGACGCTTTCCCCCAACCGCAGGTGAGCAGTGGGAGTGGGGTTGGTGTCTGTCTCCGGCGAAGCCCTGTGGGTGGGAAGGGGCCATGGGGAGGCTGTGCCAGGGTGGGTTTGGTGCTGGACGTCCTCAAGGCTCACGGTGTGCTCCCTTCAGGACTGTGCATTACAACCCGACCAACAGCAAACACCTGGTGTTCTCTGTGTCCGCCATCCCCGAGCAGCTGCAGGGACAGATGACTGTCCTGCGCTACTTTGCATCCTACATGGAGCAGCATCTCATGAAGGTGGGTGCTGGGGCCCTGGGCTGGATGTTGCATCTTGGCTTGACCGCACTGCTTGGGCTGGTTGGACTCCCTCCTTGCAGGCTGTGGCCTCAGAGTTGTGTCCTGGGAGTGAGGACCCCCCTGAGAGGGTGTCCAGGTTTGGTGCTGTGTGTGCTGGTGGAAGTGCTCCTGTGTATGGGACCAGTGGCTTATGCAGACCCTTCTCTCCAAGGGAGGTGACTTGCCCAGCATAGATGACCTTGGGCAGCCGGCCCTGCTCCTCCTGCAGTGGGTGAAGACTGACCAAGCCTTGCTCATGCTCTTCAGCAATGGCACCCTCCAGGTATGTGTGGGGCACAGTGGAGAAGCCTAGACCCTTGTGAGGAAGAGGCCAGATGGTGTCTCCTGGCCTGTATTAGATCTTGTCTGCCACAGCCCAAATGCAAAATCCAGCTGTGAAACAGCTGTGGGTGCAAGATGCTTCTCCAGTGCCTGGAGATGCTGGTTGCAGCTTCCCCAGCTCCTGGGGGACATAATGCTTCAGCTGGATGCTTCTGTCTGCCCCAGTGCTGGAGCTGGCGCATTCCTGGCACGGGGCACGGAGCAGGGATGCTCCCAGGCAGGTTGGGGAGGAGGAACGGGTTGAGGCAGGAAGTGTGGCTGCCTCTTGGCTCCCGACATGCTGTGGGAAGCATGGGTTAAACCAAGCCCAACCTGTCTTCTAGGTGAATTTCTATAACGACCACACCAAGGTGATCATTAGCAAGCCTGACCACTCCTGCCTTGTCACCTACATCAACCGGGAGCGCAACTCCTACACTTACAAGCTGTGCAGTATCCAGGAGCTGGGCTGCTCTCCTGAGCTCCACCACCGCCTCAGATACATCCTCAAGCTCCTCCAAGAATGGGCTGAGGCCTAACGTGGGACCCTGGGGGACCTTCTCTGCACATAGAGGTCTCCCCCCTGCCCTCCCATGGGATGGGAGGTATGTTGTGGTGCTGGCTGCCCAACTGGGCACTCTGTATCCCGGTGTTCAGCTGGTCTCTGGACTAAGATGTGGATGTGGTTCCAGCAGCAGGTCTGGATATCCTTGCTGCTCCCTGGCTCTGGGCAGTCGTTGTCTTTCCATCTCCAGCTCCCGCTCTTGTTGTGCTGATCTTAGTGGAGTGGACTGGGGTGGTACAGGGAGGTGGTGGTGGGTGAGTGTCCTGCAGCCAGGTTTGGGGCTGGTTGTGTCTTGTTTGGGGCTAGCAACTGCCTGTGGTGGGAGCTCAGGCTGCCCTGGCCTGCCCAGGGTGATGCACCAGTTGCACGAGGACTGGCACAGCCTTGATCTCAAGCCTTGGGTGCTGTGGGGTAGAAAAAGCCCCTTTCTGGGGTGGACAAGGGGTGAAGGGTGATGCCTGCCCTGCCCGGGGCTCTGTGGGCTGGTGTGTGCCACTCCACAACTGCTACACTAAGGAGGGTGTTGTGCTGGGCCCAACTGTGTCCTGTCTGTTTCCAAATTGTGAATTGTCTGGTACAACTTGAGGTTTGATTAAAGGGGGGGATGGGATCTGAGGACTTTCCTGGAGAAGCCCTCATCTTGTTGGGACCCAGGGTAGTTTCTTATTTCAAGGCAGTCTCTGCCATGTGGGACTATTTATGTATCTTATTTATATGGAATTATTTATTTTCCTGTTGGTCTGTCTGTGTGCAGCTACCCTCTCCCTGACTCACCTCAATAAAAACTTGTTTAAGGGCAAACTGTGTCTGCCTTGTCTGAACCTGGAGTCACGAAAGGCTTCAGCATCATCCTTGCTCTAGGGCTGCTTTTGTCTGCCAGGGATAACCTTTCTTGCCACTCACTGCTGGGGGACAAGGTCAGGGATGCAGGGAGGAAGGGTGCAAGGAGTCCATGTGGTACCTCCACTGCTTTTGGGGGGCTGGCAGGAAGGGCAGAGTTAGCTCTTGCTGTTGCCAGTTGGAGACCTGGAGCTGCCTCAGCTGCTTCTTGCTGCTGCCAAACTCATTCCCAGTTCCCTCTGCACTTGGACCAACTCATCTGCCCTTCTCATTCTGCTGAGCTGCAGAAGGCAGAGGAGTTACGACTTAGGTGGTGCAGGAGTTGCCTGGGTCCTTGCACTACGACACCTTGTGTGATGGGATATGAGCTGGGCATGAAGCCAGGAAAGAGCCCTGTGAGCTTGCTTTGAAGGTGATCTGTGTAATCAATCTGCCTGGGAGCAGCTTGTGCTGTGGGAAGCAGCCTGGGCTGCTCCAACAGCCTTGGGCCATTGCCTGTTTTTTTGGGTTGTGTTTGCTGCCGCTTGGGTCTTTTTGCAAACCACAGTAGTGGGAGCTATAGTGTGGGTGTGAGCTGAGGTTGGAGTGAGCATCTCTCTCTTGCTCTACGCACATATCATGGCCAAAGATTCCAGGTATGAACCACAGACGGACAAAACCTCTTTATTTCAGCTGCTCTTTCCCTACAGCTCTACAAGACTGGGTGGAGGGAGAGGCACATGCTACTCAAAGTAGACCCCATGCACTGTGGCCACAGCAAAGAGGGAGGCATTGGAGAAGGTGGCGGAGGCAAAGCTGTCAGTGGCAGGGTCCCATAGTGCCCGGCTGGCCACCAACAGGCTCTGTTGGCCCTGCTGGCCCAGCACCACATGGCAGACCAGCTTGTAGCGGGGTGGCACTACCTCCTTAGCCCGGTGCTGCAGCAGCTCAACCACGCTCTGGGCTAATGGGGCACTGCCCTGAGGGCTGTAGACAGTGGTCCCCAGGGCACTGGCCAGGGCCCCCTCCAGCATCCGCTGCACCTGCCCCACGTTGAACTTGCAGCCTTCGTCTGGCCCCATCCTATAAGTGTTTTTGAGGCGGGTCTTGAGGATGGGCTGGAAAAGGGGGAGCCCAGAGAAGCTAACACGTCTGTGGAACATCCAAGGGCCAATGGAAGGGCGCCTGCTCCCCGGGACCACCCCGAATGAGCTGCGGCGGCTGAGGACCGAGTTGCGGCGGGAGAGCAGGAGTGGTGGTTTGCCTTCCTCGGAGCCCCGGGCTGGGGGCTGGGAGCCACGGCGTGTGGCATGGAGGGGAAAGGCTTCAGTGTTGTCTGCAGCCATCACCTGGGCTGGCAGGGCCATCTCTGGGCAAGGCTGCTCAGCCATATGGGTGGCCTGGAAAGGAGATGAGGCTCTGAGTGTCAGGGGGAGGCAGGTGTCCCATAGCCTCTCTGCCATCCCACTGCCTCTCTGCTTCACTTCTCCCTGCCCTCTGCAAATCTCACACCTCCTGGCATGTGAGTCCCTGTGGGGCAAGATGCAGAGAGGCTGGGAGGTCCATGGCAGCTGCCTTCCCATCTCCACACCTCCATGCCCATCAGATTCAGCCAGCTGGGGCTGATTCAGCACAGCCACGAACGGTCCACCCAGCCCTCTGCTTTTCCTCCTGGCACAGGTGAGCAGCTCCTTCCCCAGCTCTCCTGTCTGCATCTGATCCCACACTTACCCTTAGCCCTGCTCCTGACCTGCTGGAGTAAACCCAGGGGACTTGTCTCTGGTTGATGTTGCTGCCCAGGACCAACCTTTATCTTGCAAGTTGCCGAGAGCAGGGCCAAACCTGTTGTGCTCCTGGAACAAACCTGTTGTGCTCCTGGATCATGAAGTGTTGCTATGTGACACTGTAGCTCTCCAGGGCTGCTCTGGGGCGCGGCTTCTGTAACTCCTTGTTTCCTGGTCCCTGGACAGCCCTGTCCCACTTCGCTCCTGCCCTCTCTGCATTTTCAGCTATGCTAGTGCAGGGACAGGCATGTGCTCTCCAACTTCAGCTCTCCTTGCCAGCCCTGAAAAATGCTGGCTGGTGTTGGATGTGCAAGAAAAGACGGGGTGGAGAATAGTCACTGTAATCACCACTTTGTGCCCCAGCTATGGGATGCACTGGAGCTGAGACCTCCAACAGCTTGATTTTACCCAAAGATTTGCATCCTTCATGTGCCTATCCCCTATGGTACCAAAGGAGAATGTGTGGGTGAGTGGTCACACATTGAATTATAGAATCACAGAATGGGCTGTGTTGGAAGGGGCCTTAAAGATCATCTCGTCCCAACTTCACTGCCATGGGCAAGGATGCCACCCGCTAGACCAGGTTGCTCAGGGCCCCATCCAATCTGGCCTTGAACAGTTCCAGGGATGGGAGGGAGCCCAGCCCTGCCACGTGCCAGGGACTCTGCTGCTGTAATGTCTGGGGGCAGGTCGCTGGGGGCTCCCGACCCTGAGCAGGGTTTCTCTCCGCCAGCGGAGCCCAGCCCAGCTGGTACGCCATGGCTGCTCCATCAATGTGCCTTTGTCTGGCCCGGCTGCCGAGCTATTTGAGGAAAGTGGAGACGGCTTTTGTGTTTCTATCTCCTGTCAGAGGTATTTATAGCCTGCCGCTGACTAGTGCTGCCAAGCACATTGCCAGCTGGACCCTGCTCCCTTGGGGTACTGCTCCAGGCCCCTCTCCTGCCTCTCCCTCACACCACCTGCTGACAAAGGTGGATTCCTCCAAAGGGCAATCCCTCTGCATTCCTCTCCTTGGGCTGCTTGGGGCCAGCCAGACTTGGAAGGAAGGGAACAGGCCATCCCCTGGCATGGCACTCAGTTTGGCTTATGTAAGCAACCTGATCTAGTGGGTGGCATCCGTGCCCGTGGCAGGGGGGTTGAAACTAGATGGGTGGTCCCTTCCAATCCAAGCCTTTCTATGAGACTGGTGATGTTTTTTTCCGCCTGTGATCGATCTTGTGTCCTAAGCAGACATGAGAGCTGCAGGGCTCTGGCCATGAACATCAGAGGAGAGAAGGCTTTTGCCATTTCAGGGAGCAGATCTCCTTGCTGGGCTCCAGTGCTGGTGCTGGGGGCCCAGCCATGCTCAGCGGCTTTCCATGAAGGCTCTGCAGGTGGAGGTGATCTCTGTGCATTTAACCTGCGCCTGTGCTGCCTTTTCCAAAACCCCAGCTGCCTGCCTCCCTTCACCCCCATCTGCCCCATCCACAGGCTCCTTGTGCACCAAACCCACCGGCTGGGAGGGGCAGGTCCCCCGTGCCAGGCGTGCTAGAGCCGTACCACGAAACACAGCAGGGAATTCCACTCGGAGCAAGCCGCAGCCCTGCTCTCCCCACCCGGCAAATGCCACGCAGAGCTGCCCCGGCGGCACGGGTGGGCTCTCGCTGTCCCCTCGCTCCCCCCCGCCGCCTCCCCGGCAGCCCAGCCTCCGAGCTCCGCCGCTGCCTGCCAAGGTTTCCCTAGCAATGGGCCGTGTCATACAAACGCCACGTGTTGGCTTCCTCCCCGCGGCCTCCCCGGGCCGGCCGGGCCAGACCAGCCTCCCTCCAGCCTCCCTCCAGCTCCCAGAGCCTCCTTCCGCCGCCCTCCCTCCCTCCCTCCCTCCCCGCGGCCGCCCATGGCCGGGCCCTGCTCGGCGCGGCTGCAGGGCGACGTGTCCGCCTTCACCAGCGCCCTGCGCTCCCTGGTCAACAACCCCCAGTTCAGGTGAGGGGCCGGGGGGGCCGCCGCCGCCCCCCCAGCCACGCCGGAGCCCCCCCGCTGCCTGCTCGGTGCTGTTTTCCTGCGGCCCCGAGCGCTGCTGGGGGGTTGGGGGCCTGCGGGGCCGCTCAGGGACCCCCGGGCCAGCTGGTGGGGCCAGCACGGCCTGTGCACGCCGTGGGTGATCCCGCATGGCTTGTGCAGCCGTGTGGCAACAGGAGCCCTGGGCTGCCCGGGTATAGCCTCTTCCCCCGGGACAGTCATGGTCTGCCTGGAGGAGGGAAAGTCCCCACGTGTGCCCGGACCCCCTCTATCCCCAGCCGTGGTGCCAACAGGGTGTGGCAGTGTCCCAGCATAAATCCCATGCTGGGGCTCCTGCCCTTGCCAGGAGTGGGGGTATTCGCTGTGCTCCCCAGGGGCAGCATCCTGTGCTCAGCTCCTTTCCCACCCTGGTGCTTTACTTCCAACTTCCCCACACCCCAGGGGGCAAGTCACAGCCTGGCTGTCCCTACCACCTCCTTCCAGCGTGGAGAGCTGCTGCCCTGGCTGTCCTTTACCTGCATGGTATGTCCTGCCTGGTTGTGGTCATCTTCACCTACTTCCTGCTGAGGTCTGGCACAAATTCCAGAGCTATCTGAGGAAACCCCTATCTCTGCTGAAAGTTTTGGCCACTTCGAATAGAAATCCCAGTGAAAACTCCCCAGTCACAGCATCAGGCAGTGGGGAAGCAGCTGTCAGTGCCTGGTCATCCCCAGCCCGTGTCCTGCTGCTCACATCTTGCATCCCACACCCCTCATCCTGCATCCTGCAGCCTTCCTTCATTCTGCATCCTGTAGCCTGTAATCTGTGCTCTGCATACATCTACTTCATCCTGCATCCTTCCTCCTTCAGCCTGCGCCCTGCACCTTCGTTCTACGTCCTGCAGCCTGTCCTGCGTCCCAGACCTTGCATGCCATAATTGCAGCTTGCATCCCACATGTCATAATTGCAGCCTGCATCCTGCACCTTTCTTGGCCTACTTGGTTTATCGTGGTCTCCCTTGCACTAACAGTCATGGAGGACCTCTTGGGCTCTGGTCACATCACCCAGCATGCCCCAGCTGTGTGTCTCGTGATGGACACTTGGAATGACCCAAGGATGGTTGGCACATCCACTTCCCTGTGGGACACTCTGAGGGTTGGGCCATGGGTTTGTGCATGTCCTCACAGCAGCTAGAGTTTGGGTGGCATGTCTTCTCCTCACTGGCCTGCTGGGACAGAGGGAGGAACAAGGGGATGGATGGGCCGTGGCCACAGGTGCTCACAGGCTGGAGACTCCGTGCCCTTTGCCTGTTCCCTTTCCCCTGATCTTGCCCCCCTTTCCTGGGGCCATGGAGCTGGGGCACCTTTCTAGGGAGTTGAAGGGGACCAGGACAACAAGATGTTCCTTGTGCCCCAGTGTGTCCCACAGGCCTGGGGAGGGCCAGTGCCTGCCCCGCCGGCAGCAATGCTGGAGGCTGCACATTCCTGGAACAATGAGTCAGTTCCCATGAGTCAAGGAGGCTGATCCTGGTGACAGCCACACTTTCCTCGGCTCTGCTGTGCCAAAAGAGAAAGTCACTTTCTCTAGCTGTCTCTGTCCCTTCTCTGCCCTGCTCAGTGCTGGCACTCAGGGCTGTCTCTGCCAGTACCTGTGGCTCTCTGTGCTTTCCAGAGGAACTGTCTCACCTTGCCTGCAGCATTCAGGTGGCTGCAAGGAGCCGCCAACAAGGTCCCCTCTGTACCCCTGCTGGGACACAGCATTAAAAGCACCTGAATTAAAATTAAAGGGTGCTGCCCTGCTGGGGTGGGCACTCAGCAGGGCCCTTCATGTGTGCCCTGTCCCAGCCCAGGGCATCCCGTGCCCTTGCTTTCCAGGCACCCTGTCCCTCACGGTCCCCTCTCCCTGCAGTGATGTGACGTTTGTGGTGGGCCCGGAGCAGCAGAAGGTGTTTGCTCACCGCTGTGTGCTGGCGTGCCGCTGTCAGGCTTTCCGGGGGATGCTCGCCCAGGTGCCAGTGGGCAGCCAGGACTCCTCCAGCAGTGTCCCAGCCCAGGGCCCCTTCATCCTGGGCAACGTGCAGCCTGAGGTCTTCCTGGCTGTCATCGAGTTCCTCTACACCAACAGTGTCACCCTCAACAACCACATCGTGAGTGGGGATGGGGCTGGTGGGGACCGTGGGCATGGGAGGGACAACGGGAGGATGCAGGAGTAGGGGGTGCTTTGCAGATCTTGGTGTGCCAAAGTTGGAGGATGTTCTGCATGGTACTTTCTGGCTGGCTAGCAGTGCAATGAGTGTGTGAGGTCTCAGCCCAGCAGAGTGGGGTGGCCAGAGCACCTTGTCCCAGCCTTGGAACAGCTGGCTGTGCACAGCCTGGATGCTGGGAATGGGGACACCACAGCAGGAGACTTAAATTTGCCTGCATGTGGCAGCCTTACCCCCCATACCCCACCTGGGAGCTCCCATGGAGGCAGGAGCACACAAGCCCTTGGGTTGCTGTGCCCATTCATGGCCCTGCATGCTGATTCTCACAAGATCCCTTTTGCCTGCAGGCACTGGAGGTGCTGACCTCATCGGTGGAATATGGCTTGCAGGACCTGTGCAAGGTACGGCCCTGTTTAGAGTGGGGGTGGTGGTGTCTGAGTGTCCCCGTGCTGGGGAGCACCCCAGGATGGTCCCTGCATAGCTGGTGGCTGGAGGTGGCTCTGAGGAAAGCACTGTGGTGCATCACTCAGGTCCAATGCAGGCTCAGTCCTGCTTCTTGATCCTGGAAGGGGATCCCCCTTGAGGGGGTGCACCACTGTCCAGAAATCCCGCAGGGGAATCCTGGGAAATCATGGGGAAGACTGTGGGGTTTCACGTCTCCCACACAGCAAAGGGCAGCAGGAAAGCCCCTGTGCCGTTGCCCACGATTTCTTTCTGGTCATCTGACAGAGTGATGCAGTAAAGAAAGCCCCGACCCTTGGGAGCAGTCAGCACCCCAGCTGTGGTGCTGCCAGGGGGATGCTGCTTTGG